GAACCATAGTGAGACAAGCTAATCAAACGTTGGGCAAGGGATACCATCGTCAATGATCTCATTGCACAAAACTCAGATGATGATTTCCAGAGCTGAAATGTGGTTTTTAATGTCTCAGGTACTATTGAAATGAGACAAAAGAAAATAAGTTCCAACACGTAGTCCAAATTACCTCAAGAGTAGCACTCTGAACGGGAAACGTCAATGTCAATGACCCTTTATCCCCCAGCAGACCAGAAGCTACTATAAAATTTTCTGGTCTCCTCAGCTTCATGTCACTTATCAGCAAATTATCAAGTTCTTTGTCTACACTCCACGAATGCAGAAATGACAAGCTATATCGAAGTAAGTATTCTTCGAATAGGCTAATCAAGTCATGACCCTCAAAAGTTTTTGAAGTATGGTGGCTGGGATTTTGTTCCTGGGCTCCCTGTTGCTTCAAATTGATATTCACTGGCTTGCCACCACCATTTTCCATGGACTCATTCTTTTGATAAGAGAGCATCAATGATGTAAGATCAAAACACAGAGACACAATCCCCGGGAATGGGCAAGAGCATTTGATAGGAAGCTTGCTACTCAAAAGACCAGTCAGAGAGGACAATTTTGGCTTCAATGAATTTCCTTTACCTGCATTTGTTTTGGAAGAATTCAGCTCAGTCATATTTGAAATATTTGGTGACGATCTTGATGAAGTAAGCATGTTGTCTGACCGATTTAAGGGGGAATTAGAGAACCTTGCATCATCAACTATTGGAAGAAGTAATGAAGAGACTGATGTATTTCCATTCAGCAATGTGCCTGATATGGAATTCATGCTTATGCTTTTGCAAAAATGATCAAACATTGAATGCGCAGCGGTCCCACGTAGGACTCGCTCGCGTGAACCTGTCTTTACATCCCAAATGTATAATACATCAGTAGCATCAGAAGTTCCGTAATGTGTTTGACAGAGACATGAAATATAACCTCTTGCTCCATCCCATATAACTTTAGAAGGATAGTTCATGTGTCCAGGAAACATTCTCTCCACTCGCAGAGTCTCAAGAGAAACAAGAGCAACACATGCATCCTCTCCAACTGAAAGGAAGCAATCACTCCATGGATGCACGGTCAAAGAAGGGGGAAGAATAATTTGACGCACAGGAGCCACATGATGATGCATTACCATAATAAGACTGCCAGTGTCAAGATCCCATATACGAACTGTGTAATCCATACTTCCAGACACCAAAACCCGTTTAAAAGTCCAGCTTTTGGCACTACCCATCATTTGATGTGCTGCCAAACAAAGTACAGCACCCGTATGTCCTGAGAAGTACTGTTTGCATGAAGTTGATTTTTCATCAGGATTGGAACTTGCACCATCGAAGCAAATCCCTTGAAACAGATCGAATCTCACAACCTCTATTTCTCCACTTAAAAAACCATATACAACAGCATAAGGAGTAAAGAGGTTCTCAGAGATAATCATGGAAGAAGAAACTACCTTCCCTTTGTAATCATAATAATTACTTGTGCTATCCACATTTGTGTTGTCTACATCATCAGAACTAGGACTCGCACCAAAAGTAGGTGTAGTCTCTAGACCATCCAGTCCCTTGAGCTGAGTAGACTTCTCAAACCAGTTTGAGAAAGATACACCATCACTGATAACTCTGCATTGACGGTACAATCTACCAGGTTCATCATCAAAATGGTGCAGTGACCAGACTGTGGCAAACGGTCTCCATAGTAAAGGGTCCTCATAATTAAAGCAAACTGACTTGATGCACACAAGATATCGATTTACTTGTTGGAAAGAAACAGATAGTCTCACGTCAGGTTGATAACAAGCCCCGGGAATCTCAGAATGGGGTTCACAAAGAAAAACATCATTCTTATACGACACATTATATATAACTGCATAACCTACATTATTCCACAGAACAAATTGTACTGTAATTGAATTTCCATCTTCATTGGCATTCCCCACATTGTCACTTTCAAGAAAAATGCCACCAATAGCATATGTTTTAGCAGAACCCCAATCCAAACCAAACAGACTGTCCACAAAAGAAACCTCTCCAATCACAGTATCACCATTCAACAACCTAAACACACACCTGTCTTTCAATATAAAAGCAACAAGATTTCCATACGTCAAAACCGACTCAATTTTCTCCACACCACTCAATCCCTCATAGCAAAAAGAACTCTCCAATTGACCTTGATCTCCAAGTGAAGCCGCCAAGCTTTCCCCTCCATCCTCCGAAATCAAAACCATCTGCCCCCTCCCAGCCGAATCGGCCACAAACACCGAGTTCCTCTTCTCACCATCGCCTAACACCAGAGCCATAAACCTAATGGGACCAATAGATAGGATTCCATGAAACACAGTTTGAGTAATGGAAAGCGAATACGTGTCCACAATAAGAATAGTGCACTTAGAGGGCTTCCTAGGCTGAGTTTCTCTATCAATAGCACCTTCATTTATAACAGAGTAATCATCAAAAGAACAAGCTATACATACGTATCTCGGAGTTGAAGGCAAGGTTCGAATTATGCGAGGAGTTCCCACCCACGGTGGCAATTTCCTCCGGCACCGGCAATGACCACTGTTTTTGCTCCACACACACAAAAAACCATCACAGCACGCACTTATCAACGCAGTGAATTTACTTGTACTTGAACCGAAACCGTTTTCTGCACCGGCGATGGGACTGCAAACGGCGAGATCGGTGACCGGTGCGGCGTGACCGCACAACACGGCGACCGCCTGAACTTGCTGCAAAACGACGATTGAAGAAGAAATGGTAATTTGTTTTTGTTAATTGAAATAAAGAGAATGGAAATTGAAATTGAAACGGGGAAATTGAAATACCGGCGGGGAAGTGGGATTGGAATGGGAGAGGGACCACCAGATGACGGAGCCATCGGATCCGGCGGTATAGAAGGACGGCGTTGGTGGTTCGGTTAGGGCGGCGACGGCGGTGACGCGGTGAGGGAAGGGCGTGCCGGACCATATGCAGGCTACCGATTTGCACTTCATGGATGATCCAATTCTCACTTCATTATATGTCATTCATTATTACACCATCACTCCTTTTCTTAAATTTTCTTTGCAAGTTTGGCTCCCACACTCTCCGCGCTCACTCATCGCTGCTTTGTTAGATTCATCTTTTTTTTATTTCACTTCATCTCAGAAAGAAAAAAAATAATAATAATCCTTTTTAATCTCCTTTGTAGTACCATAATTATCATTCACAGTAGAAATCAAGCACGTCCCTAAACAGTTCATCTCCGCGTTATATATGTTTTTGCACATTTAGGTGTGTTTCTATGCATGTGTGCATTTAGGATAAAGATCAAGTTTCCCCAATAGTAATTTTTGTTGGTAGAGTTACTCCACATTATAAATTTGATCCAAAGAGTTATCCAATGGATAGTTAAAGTTAATTTAAAAGTTATTTAAATATTTTGATTTAATAGTTGAATTGTTAATATTTAATATATATTTTGAATTATTGAACAAAAATTATTTTACAAAAAATTATTTTTATAAAATATTTTTAATTAGTTTATTAGTTTTCAATTTTTCAATTTTTAGCTTATAACTTATAAGTTTCAACTAGTTTATAAATTTTTAATAGACTTAAAAGCTAGTTCAACCAAACAAGCCTTATGTAAAAAATAAATAATCTTATGGTGAATTTTAAAAAAATATTGTTTAATTGAAAATTATTGAATAATATAATAATTATTAAAAATTACACTAATATAATTTGATTTGGCATTTCAAATGAAAAACTTTTTATAATAAGTACATGAAAACTTGTTATGATTGTTATTGGATTATAATTAAAAAAAATACAATAAAAATTAAAGTTTCATTATAAACTTGTTTTATGAAATTATTATTCATGTTGTTTCTATCACTATTATTAACATTATCATTACTAATATTATTATCTCTATTACTTACAAAAGTCAATAATATTTTTTAATTATTAAAATTATTGTCATTATAATTAATATTATCATCATTATTTCTATCACTATTGATGATGACAATAATAATTATATTGATGGTAGATAAATTTATTAAAGAATAAAACAAAGATCCATACTATTTAAAAATATTGGTTCAAATTTAATTTTATCATAAATTTGAACCAATCTAGCTCATGAACATCACTTTAAAAAAAATTGTAATAGAAGTTAGGATTATTTAGGAGTTAGATACAATCCAAAATAAATTGAAAAAATAAAATTGAGAAGATGAAAACCATACAAATAAAAATATCACACCAAATTTTTTTTTAAAACAATTATTAAATCGGGCTTCGGATTTACTTTAGGAAATTGGTCTGATATGGTCTAAATTAAACAAAACTTATTCATACATATGGTTCTATTTTGTAAAATGCAAAGCAAAATCAATTATTTCTTTTGATACGTTATTTTCTCATCTTTGTCCTATTTCTTTCTGTGTTGCTAATCATGTTAAATGTTAAGGAATGACCATAAATAGATTATAGTGCAACTTAAACTTGTCGAAACACCTAACCATGACGTGAAAAGACAACAGTTTTTAATTAAAATTTAAAGCATAAATAGAAAGAAGGGGTGGGAAGAGGGTTCTTCTACCTTGGAAGTTGCATAAAGAGAAGCAAATTTTGTAGTTAATTTGTATTCATGACTTGTGACAAATTCGGTTGTGTAAGGTTAAGATCTGACAAATCTAAAGATGAACAAAACAACTAGTAGTAGACAAGGATATCAAAATAGATAATTAGATATGATTCCTCTAAAGGAAACAATTCACTTTAGAAAATAATAAATAATAAATATGTTGAAATATCATCAACTAATAAAATTACTTGTTATACACTTCCTTTAAAGTAGCCCAATCCCATAAAAATGAGCCTCAGGAAACACATTTCTTCTTACTCGGGTAAAGAAACACGAGTACAATTGTTACTTTAAACTGAATTTACTTAAAATCAGTTTTATAAAATCACCTCACATTAATGTAAAATCAATTATACGAACTCACGCACAAACACGCTCTTAGTCTACTGTAACATCGTTCAAGTTACATCCTACACTTTCTTAATATGTTGACATCTCTTTTAAATATTGTAACGGACGGGGACAACACGAGTATATTTTTTTTTTCTTCTTGTTTGTGCTGTCAAATTCAGTATAAAGTGAACGCAATTATAAAATAAGGGGTTAAATTAAATATTAGTATTTGACACCCTACTTTTTTTTAATCACAACATTAAAAAAAATCCTACATTTTCAATTCATACATGAAACAGTAAATTCATTCTTTACCAAAAATCAAAATCAATATCATAGTATTAAAAGAAATCATGTAGAAAGCAATAAAAATAATGTCACTAAAATGTAAAAAATATATAAATATATATTTAATATTTTTTTTCTTGTAAAATTAACAAATTTTGATTTAGTTCTTATAAAAAATTATTTTATTTCTCTAAAACTAGAATTATTAATTTTAGTCTCTATTTTAATTATTTTTTTATTAATAAATTAAATGATCATCCTATATATTACTCACAAATGCTAGTTATATAAAATTAGCGTTTGACACCTATAAAAATTGATATAAAAAAATCCTTAAAATAACTATTATTTACATACTTAAAAATGATTGTTAGGGACAAAAATTAATAATTTCATATTTTAGAAGAATATATATCAAAGAAAAACATCTCACATGAATCAAAGCCAAAATATTCAATTCAAAGGACCAAAAAAATGTTCATAAAATTTAAAAGGATAAAAAAACAAAAAATTACAAATATCAAAATAAAAAATTATTCATTTTATAAGGACTAAAAACATATTTAAAATATATATATATACCACAACAAATTATCATTTTTTTATAAAGGTTAAGAAAACAGTGCAAAATTTAGGGTTAATTCACACCATTTTAAGTAATGGCAAACTATAACAAATAATTTTTAGTGCAAGGAGAAAAACGAAAGGGTTGAAATTTTGAATTTAACCTAAATTAAATTTCGCAACAAAATTAGATATTAAGGATTTCTCCTTATAAAGTTTGAATTTGCATTGTACATAAAGAAGATTAAAAAAAAAAAAAAAAAAAAAAAAAAAAAAAAAAAAACTATCATAAAGAAGGAAGGAAAAAAAGGGAAGGGGGTCAATCGAAGTCGCACAATAAAGTGCCTTGTTCCTTGCCAGACTGTCTTTAGTTTCGTTGCCAAGGAAGGAAAGGCGTCATGCTTTATATGTTGTGAATTATGCCAGGCAGCAGAACGACAAGCCTTTAACCTAATATGTAGAATGAAAGCCTCCATCCAGCTCATTCACCCTCTACACCTCGGGAATGTTAATTAATTCTCTGTATAAAAAGGGTCAGAGGGATTGGAACTCACCATATTTTAAATAAGATATGTAAGCATATGATATGATAGGGATGAAAAAGAAGGCAGCTATTTAACATTCTGAAGTTTTTCATGCCATAAAATTAGTAAATGTTGAAGTAATTTCACGAAGAAAATTAAACACCTACAAAACTGAACCCTTGTGCAAAAGGTGCGACTCTTCTCTCTTCACCTTTATTCATCATTATCTGTCTCTTTGGTGGGCTTTACCAAAAGGAATCGGCATTAGTAGACAACTACGGGACCTTGAATATCAACAAAAACGTGAACTCCCTGACCACGTAAAGGTGTATAGCTCGTTAGGAGATATTGCCCCAAAGACAGAGCATAGACATTTCACTCCAAACACAAAATGCCCTGAAATAGCCATTTCACTCTCTTGCCCCCTCACAACACAGGCTCTGCACTATATGTTACTCAACTATAGGCTCATTTCCAAAGAGCAAAGCCATGCGAGAGATTTGGATATTTTTTGGTTTAAAAACCTATGATAATTGTGAACTGTATTTATGGGCAAAGCCCAGATAGGCTTGAATCTCTTTCAAACAGATAACTTCAACAGAAATGATGTCCGTAATGATACACAACGTATATCGTTAAGATCCCCCTGATGATGTTACTCTAAGGCTTGAAACTACCAATCATCTGTCAAAGTCACTTGTAATGATACACATGAACCCACACTAACTGATTCATCCATCATATGTGCAACAACCAACTTAAATTATACACGTAGGTTGTTACATATTTGCTAATATAGACCTAGAAGTTATGATACAGTTGCCTTGATTAAAACTCAAGTTTGCTACATACTTGCATTTAACATATAAATACATAGATTTACATGCATGAATAGAAATACGTAAGTTATTAATGAACAAGAGCAGGCCTTAAAATATTTCTCATCTTATTACCTTATGGGGTGGAGTTCCCGGTCTTGATGAGTTGTTGCCAAATCCAACTTTCCCTTTCTTTTCAGATGATTTAAGTATTTGGAAAGAGCATGTCAAGGTGTCATCCACACTCATCATAGCACCAGCATTATCGAATTCACCACAGTAATTTGGTGCGGAGAATATTGTCACCAGCTGACGCTTGGCAAAAAACTCATATCCATCCTCTACAACCTGAAAAACAACCAAAATTTTTAAAAGGAAAATATGAAAACAGACTCAGCAATTCATTAAAAAAAAAATAAGACTGATGAGCCAAGCAAACGCCCGATGCAACGGCATATACAGATAAAGACCCAATACAATACAAGTACATCAACAAAGATAGGCAACTAAAGAATGGATCACTAATTAAACATAAATAGAAATGACCTGATATTAACAAGGTGTCAAAGTTGGTGATACATAACGGAAAGAGAAAAACCAAACTGTTACGAGAAAACCATGCATTAAAGTATTAAACATAGACTTACAATAGTACTTAATCTGTGAGGTCAAAACTCAACCAAATTTCATCATGTCATTCATCCTATCTCTTTCTTTTCCCTTGATTCTCAGTCATCATAATTTATATTTGATGCATGTGATTATTTTTCATTTAACAATGAGTAATAAGTAGCAAACGCATCATGCATGCCCAACTCTAGTATATAAGGATAGAAGTACCATAAAAGATACTACCTATAGCCATAGATGATCAACCCAAAAGTAGCAATAAAATCATAGAAATTGACCAAACTTCAGGTTTCATTACCTGGTGAGCTCTGCATATCAGATCAAGATCATGTTGTTCAAGAAATTCAACAACCTTGTCAGCCCCAAATGTAAATGACACACCTCGGTCATTTTCTCCCCACCCATCAAGATCTTTATCAGGATCAGCCCATAGAAGATCACAGAGAAGACCATGATCTGGCACATCAATAGGACGAGCAATATTCCGTATCTGATCCAAGTTTTTAAGATCAGGCGATAGTCCACCATGCATGCAGAGGATCTTCTCATCTATCAGAGCAGCAACAGGTAGACAGTTAAAGCAATCAGTAAATGTCTTCCAGATGCGAACATTAAACCTCCTCTTACACTCATCGTAGAAACCATATATTCGGTTGATGGAGGCACACTCATGGTTGCCCCTGAGAAGAAAGAAGTTCTCCTTGTATTTGATCTTGTACGCAAGAAGTAAGCATATTGTCTCTATACTCTGCTTACCACGATCAACATAATCTCCAAGAAATAAATAATTTGCTTCAGGTGGGTATCCCCCATATTCAAACAACCTTAAAAGATCTGAGTATTGGCCATGAACATCTCCTGCAAATGAATTGTTTAAAACAGATGCCATCCACTATAGATAACAAGGTGTTTAAAAGCAAAAAAAGGTAACCTTAAGGTTCTGGGGCTTTTAACGCCTCAAACCAAAAAGGTGCCAAAAAGTATACACATGATGAAACAAGGCATCAAAATTAGAAAAAGAAGAAAACAGTAAATAGTTTAACCATTTCAACACAATTTTCCATAAATCAACTACTCGAGCACAACATTCCTACTTAAATAAAACTGAAAAAAAAAAAAAAAAACGTTGCATGCAAAAGCATGATAACAAGTTGAAAACAGGCTCTAAGGTCTAAATTTCACAAACAAAATGAATGTGGCAGCTACTGCCGCAACCCTAAAATATAAATTCATGACAAATAAAGTTAGATGGGTAGACTTTTGACGTTTTTACAATCATTGGCCATTTAAACCGAGTTTCATGGAAACTCCATCAAGGGAAGCCCCTTGCCCATACCAGAAAAACATCACAAGTCAGCACATGACCAACAGAAAGGGCACCTTGTCTACAACCCCAAAAGGCACCAATCCCTTCCATCGTCTAGCCTCGGTCCCCCTTATTGGCCCTATCAGGGATTTGACTCATTGACAGATAAACAACATACTGATTGAAAATTATTTTGCACAACTAGTAATGCACCAGTTGAAGTATAACTCTAGAAGCCATTAATTCTATCCCAACACATCAAAAGTAGCAGCATCTATCGCCATCAACACACTTCCCTTTGCTCTCTCCCACTTTCAAACCTGTCCATCTAATAGCCCTAGGAAAACCAAACAAATGCGCGAGTAACCTAAAAGACTTATTTCGAACTCAAGGCACCAAAAACAGCTTCGAAAGAGGCATAACCTAAAAGCTTTACACATTCAATTATTCATGCACCAAAACCTAGCCGTTCGCTAATTTCAATTCCCAGTAAACAACAACACCAACAATCCTCGTGTAAAACGAAATAAACAGAATTGCGTGACACTTTCCCCAACGCCTTCCGTTCAATTAAAACCAACAAGCAAGGTTAAAACGATCGAAATTATTAAAAAATATATATGTATATACCACAAATCTTAATAGGAGCCTCAAGTTCGAGAAGATTGGGTTGACTGAGGAAGATCTCCTTGGAGGAAACACAGAGCTGTCGAATTTCCGCCTCCGTAAGCTGCACCTGCCTCGTCGTTCTCCCGTTCTTCGCCGCAACGAGCCTCCGTATGATATCGTCGAGCACGTTCTCGTCCATCTCGCGAGAATTCGCAAAAACAAGGGTCAGCGAAGGAAGGATCGGATTGAGAACGGAAAGTTGCTCGCTTAGGCTTTAAGATAAAGCGGCAGAGAGAGAAAGGGAAAACGACGAGGGAGGGAGTGATTGATAAAGCCGCCGTTTCCCGCTGGCGAGACGCAAATGACAAACGGAGTTGGGAATAGTTTTTGTAGGTTTGTTCTTCTCTTTGGGTTTGGCGGAGAGGAGTGGCCACTAATACGAACCCTAGCCTAGTTGGTGACAAGGACAAATACATTCACCTTCTTCATATTGCAAAACACATTAATTTATTAATAATTAATAAATAATATGATACCTTCCTTACTTTGCTTCCCGTGGATTATGGATTATGGATACATTCCTGAATCCTCAACTCAACTCTATCTCAAACATTTAAGCCACTCCCACTGGGACCCCCAACCCCTCGCACGTGCAATGTATCGCCACATCATCTCTTTTATTTTAACCCCACAACACCGTCTGATCAACTGACCATAGTAGAGATCGTGTGTTCGTCAGATACTCAATCTTACAATCTAATCAAATTAATTATATTGTTCGTTGTCCTGGGTGTTCGCGGCTGCTTTAATTTTTCTTTCTTTCTTTTCTCTTCCATATCTGAATAGTTAGTTCAGATCTTAAATTTTTTTATTTTTTTATTTGATAAATTGATCAATAGTTTTTAATTAAGTTTTTCGTTAAAACTTTATTATTTTTTAGACTATCTATTTTTCAATAAAAACAATTTTACTTTAAAAAAACAAAAACATTTTTGCACTAATTGACTTGTTCATTTGATAATAAATTTTAAGTTTAAATATATTTTTAATTTCTAAAAAATAAGTAAGTTTTTATTTTAATCTTTATAAAAAAGTTTCTTTAATTTTTATCTTATAAAAAAATTTAGAATCATTATTTATAATCTCGTTATTTTGTAATTATTATTAACTACTTATATATTTGATTAAAAAAAATTAAATGACAATTTCATGTTATGTATAATTTATAGTGATATCATAGTGTATAATATCTTTTAAAAAAGTTTTTTGAATTTTTATAATAAATATTATTTATATATTTTAAAATCATTATTAAAGATAAAAAATAATTATTATAGATTTTGAAGGAATGATAATTAAAGAAAAATATTTTTTAATGACTAAAAAAAATATTCATTTTACAAAGAATAAAAGTACTTTATAAAAATTAAAATCAATATTTACAAAATATAAAAAAATTATATTAACTTAAATCAAAATTCGGTCATCATAAATTAAAAACATAATTAAGTTTAACTTTTATTATTTTCATGGGATATAAAAAAAATAGTATCTCATGTTTTCTTATTTATTATTTTAATTTTAATTTTATATTTGTTTCTATTTATTTCTTAGTTTTTTAATTTTTATTTTGTGACATCAAACGTGATGAAAAAGTTAAATATTAAATAAGAATAAATAACTAGTCATTCAAAATAAATAAATAAATAAATCACTTTACGTTAATATAAAATTAAAAATATTTTAGAAAAAATATATAATAGATAATAAACATAGGTAAAATCTTGAACTAAATATAATAATTTATTTCTTTCATAATTTAATGATTCAAATTATACCAATTTAATCTTTAACAAGAGAAATACTAATAATATATTCATTAACATTCTTTTAAACATGTTATCCCCTCCTCCACGAATACAAATACCTTTACTGGCTGGTGTTTCAAATCTCTCTTGTTTTGAGAAATTTTTTTAATTTTCTATTTATTCTTATTTTTAATCTGTATTCTAAGGTTTAAACTAATTTAATTGGGTCAGAAGTAAGTAAAGTCTAAATGATTCAATCTTAGGTTTAATATATTAATTATTTATGTCTAACTCTTTGCTTTTTAACTTTCTATCTAATCCATTTTTATTTATTATATATATTAATGAAATACATTTTAATATTTTTAAAATAAATAATCAATAATTAAAAAAAAATAAATAAATAAAAACATATTATTAAAAATAATATATATTTATCTTAAATATAAATTATAATTTGTACATTTAAAATATGTACTTATATTGATTTTAAATATGATTAATATATTTAAATATAATATTTATTTATATATAATTTATTACAATTTTTAGTTATTTAATAAATATTTATCTTATAAATTAGACAGACTAAAATACTAATATATTATAAACTTCACGTATTCTTATTTAAGTAATTTACTAAAAATATTTTTCTAAAATGAACATAGCCAACTCTATTAAAAAATTAAGATTATTTTAATTTATTAACTTTTAAATATATATATTTCTTAAGCATTACCAAATATATTTAGAAGATTTTTCAAAAAAATCGATTTAATCTAGTAATTTTATAATATCACCTAAAATGAACAATATTATTATTCACGTTCCTTTTAAACACCCACTTCCAGTTGCATTAATAATACAATTTAATAATGTTTTCTTACTAAAAAATTTAGTTACTTAAATATCAAAATACCTGAACACTACTAGTGCTCAACGACTATAAGAAAGGAGGTTCAACAATAGCCCAAGTCTTGACTGTACATGTTTAACGTATTCTTACAAATTTAAGTTGCGTATTTTTCAACAAAATAGATTAATTTTTAGCATAAATATCTTCATTTTAAATTTTATGATTTGTAATATGAAAGAGGAAACTAAGTATTTAGTATTCATTTTTAAAAGGTTTTTTTTAATGATGTTTAAAAACAAAATTGTAAAGACTTAAGGATAAAGCAAAAAAAAATATTTTATTATTGTGAAAATATGTGTGTAGCAAAAAAAAATATTTTATTATTATGAAAATATGTGTGTGAAAATTCATTATTGCATAACAAGTGGTCGATTCAATGAGTATGATAGAATTGGCTGATAGATCCAAATATAAGGTCCTTTGTATTGAAAGCTCTCATATCAGTAAGTATAATAGAAGATATTGTGACCGATCAAGATCAGAAATATTAGACTTTGCTCAATTTTTAGCTAACCAATCAACACACTTGTTACCTTCATCAAGAATGTAAGAGATGGTAACGCTTCAATGTCTTTTGATAAGTGATTTAATATTCGAATGAAAATGCGTACGTATGTCGCACAACTAATTCAAATTTTATATCAAACATAAACTAACATATAATCAAATTCACAAGTGACTAATAAATTTAGGCATTTTGACAAATAGATATTTCTTGAATGTTTCTACTATGAAACACTTGTGCAAATATCTTGTCACTTAGACAGTAAATTTTATATTTTATTAAGTAATTTATTTTACATTAAATTTTAATAATATTTAAAAATAATAATTTTTGTTTAATTTAAATATCAATGCTTGCAATTACAAAAATAACCTTTGTCACAACTACAATTAATAAAATTTTTAATTAACATCATCGTTTTTCTCTTTCTCAATCCCAATACCCCATGAACAAGTTATTTGTGCTGTTGAATCTTCCAATACAACAAAAAAATCACTACAATTAAAAAACCACTATACTTAAAAAAAATATAAAAAAAATATCGACAATAATGATTGCATCATCTTATCAACCACTAAAAAAAAACTTTTAAAGTCATCAATTCACATTTTTAAAATAAGAATAAAAATGTAAATTACATCCAAACAATCTCAACCATTCAATTTGGTATAAAATGTCTCATGGTTAGCAATTTTTTTTAACTATATACAAAATTTAACCATACTTAACATGTTGCTTACAATTTTCATTATTTTTTAAATATATAAATTCTCATAATCACATTGTTTAAATATATAAAATTTAAATTTTACTATTTTTTTAAGTTAAATTACCCTTTTTAATGAAATAACCGCACTATTAATAATCTTTGAATCTTTAAATTATTTTTTATAATCTTTGATCCTAATTTATTTATTTTAATATCTTGCTAACCTAGTAACTTATATAGATAAAAAATAATTATTTTTATGCATCAATTATGTAAATAGTTGTTTTTTTTAGCATTAACTATTTGGAAATAATGTTATAAATATTTTGCAAAATAATAATTATAAATGTAAGTAAAAGTATCAAACATAGTAGTTTATAATTTATATAAAAAACAAGTAGTATTTTTTATTTTAATTTTAAGAAACATATAATCACTTTAAAGTATATTAACATTTAATTTTTTAAAAATTTATATTTACAATTAAATTTATTAATAAAACACTTGACTCTTATGCAAGTAGATGCATTAAGGTTTATTAACAATACTTGATGAAATTTATGATTTTTTTTTTGTTCGTTTCTGGAGTATTTATCGCTGATAGCAGTGACTAATCTCCTCACTACGTTGGAAGCACCTCAAAGAGTGGGATAGCTGGCTCCAAGATTTAACACGGCTGCATACATAAGACAGGATTCGAACCCCTGACTTTACTTAAGCGTGGATCAATCCCTACCGATGAAACTTATGAATTTGAAATAATACTATTAAATATAATCACTAATTAAATCATTTAAATCAAAAAATATTTTTATAGTAAAATATAAATTTATAAAATTATTAATTAAATTAGCTAGCTTAATTATTTATATATAAAAAGGGAGGTAATATATTTTTAACAGAAGGAAAATGACAACAGTATTATATTAATTTGCCAAATAAACCGGAATCAATATATTATTACATTAATTGATGTATGAACAAAATGGATAATGCCACGTCAAGAAAGTTAAAAAAAAAAACAACACAAAGAAGATAAAACTTAAAAGCCTGTTCTAAATAATGTGGGATTGCCCTCACCGGAATATTCCCCACCGACGGAACACTTGAGACCATTTCCCGAAAACTATATATAGCGATCTTTGAATCCCAAAATTTGCCCTAGAAATCCATCAACAGCCGCAACATGCTCCTTCGCACCAAACACTCACTTTCTCTCTCTTCGCTCCAAATTCGCGTGCACACTCGCCACCAGATTCACCAAGGGATTTAGGTTTCCGTCCATGGACGCCGTCGAATTACCGTTACCACTTGACGTCGCAGCCACGCCCAAATTGATGGGATCCGAGGGTTTCTCGCTCATTCCAAATGGTTTCTCTCTCATTATTCTTTCCCCAATTTCTATCTATGTTTCTTTTATTTTCTTGTTTACGTCATCGAGTTATCTTTCTCTAATCCTTGTGTTGCCTTTTTTTTTGTTATTGCTGTATGTGTCGTTGGTTTTGTGGTTTTGGTGATTTGATCTGTGCTATTTTGTTGTTTATTTACTGGTGGTCTTACCCGTTATGAAATAATGCAAATTTAGAAGCTGGGAAAATGTAATTGCTACGATAAAGTTGCTTTCTCCATTATTTAGATTATAATTTATGAGTTGTTGGACTGTCTTCGACAGTCGACAGTGATATTCGTAATTATCACTTCACTACAACTCAAATTGGACCTAGTGAGAAGTGCTCTGACTAGGCTACGGTCGTGTAATTCTTACACTTGTCAATAACATCCATTAGATAGATAACAGAAGGTTGAATTCTTACTCTTGTGTATGACATCCATTAGATGGATAACAGAATGTTGGGCTTGATGTTGAATATGGAAACATCTTGATATTATTTTTCCGGTTAATGAGAGAGGAAGTTGTTGGATTGTATAAAGTGTTGGGAGGACTATGCTTAGTGGTGGAGATGCTCACTCTATTTGCTCAATGCTTGGATTTGAGTTATCCCGCAGACAAGTGGCGATATTAAACCAATGTGCTTCTTTCACACTTTGCTTTTTTTAAGTTTCAATAAATAGCTGTTACTCAAACTGTCTTGAGTAATTATCCAATGCTATCTGATATCCGTTTAACATTAAATAGCTGTTGCTTTAACTGTCTTAAGTATTCATCCTATTAAATATCTGTTGCTTTAACTGTCTTAAGTATTCATCCAACGGTATCTGATATCCGTTTTATGGATGCATGTTGTATTGGTTGAATCGTCCCTTTTTTGGGTTTGGGTTTAGCCTATTAATTTCAGTCTTAACTTTTGACACACTCGTTTTTGCTTTTTTATTCATTATTACATGACTTTATCGACTCACTGTTATTGTGCCAGATGTTGCAAGTATAAAAACTGTAGCTGAGTTTCCCTCCTGCAATAAATTTATAGAAACTCAACTCTCTAAGAATTCTAGTCAACTGCCCCATCTCAAGGGTGAAGAGGCGTCAAAAAATGCACCTAGTGGTAATGGCAAAAATTGTCCTGTAATTACTTCCAGACCAGAAGGAGTACCATTACAACGAAAAACATCAAAATCAAACAGGAGTAATAGTTCATGTTCAAAGAGGCCACGGATGTCCCAATCAGAAGATTCTTTCAGCCTTAATGGAATTGAGGAGTCAAAGGACATTTTTGATAAACTTGGATCACATAATTTAAACTGTACTTCTCCAGGTATTTTGCCCCCAAATAAGCCATATTTGGCTTTCTAAATTCTATCTATATGCTCTTAACTTTTTTGGTTCCTTGACTATCTTTTGGTGTAGACAAAAGTCAATTGCCAAAGCAAAAGAGCAATCCTAACAAGCGTGGTGATAAGAGGAATTTTAAAGTGCCTTCTGCAAAGGCAAAATTTGAGTCATCCACTATGAAGATGGGTGCATCAATCTTCAGTTCTACTTGTGGAGGGAGCAACTTTTTTGGTATGTCAAATGATTGTTAGGCCTATCGTTCTCTTCATAAATCTTCTGTAGTTTCCCTTTCTTCGTGAGCTTTATTTTTTCCATTTATTTATTTACTGTGTATGTTGCATAGTGTGAATTTTTGATTGAACGTTAGCTGTGATTTCATTTAACCTTTTTGTTATCTGATTCGTGTGTTGCATTTTTATTTCAGTTATCTATCAATTCAGGTCATTCGATTTAATATTTGAGAAAACTCATCTGAAGTTGTTTACGGAACTATTCTGCTGTGTGGATATACATTGTGTATTCTATTTAAAAACTAAGTTCATGATGCAACTGAGGCTTTGCTTTTACCACTGTGGTTGTAATGATAGGCGCTTTTACCACTGTGGTTGTAATGATAGGCCTATTTTGGTTATGTGCTTATCCAGCTTGAAAGCAATCAGGCGTGCTTATATTGTTTATAACAGATATACATGAACCACAGTCTTGCAATAACACCTTGATTTCTTGAGAATTGCACCATTTTACATTATTTTTCTTGAATCTTGAATTCAATATCATTTTGGCTATATTTGAGCCACTGTTGATTCAGTTTATTAATGTTCAGCTATTTGCACTTTTAGAACTTTAACGTATCATTTATTCTAGTCAATTATAATTTTCACTATTCATTTCTGAGCCATCTCTTTACGCAAGAATATCAGAATTACGGCTTCCCCTAGTAATATGATTTTGTATCAGTTAGCTATATGTCTGATTGTTAATACCTAACCCACATGCAGCCATACATCAGCAAATGATGTATGTTCTGGCACCGCATCATTAATCTACGATTTGAAGAAACAAATATAAGCTGTTTTATCAATACTTAAGAGTTTAATAAAGCTCAGCTTCTCTACCAGAATACTTTTTTTTTTTTGCGTTCTTGTATGCTGTATAACTTTGATTACTAATTTAATTTGCATGGATATTTTTGGAAACTGTTTCCAGGGTTGTATGGACTGAAACATGATTTTCATGATATCACAAAGCTTATGGAAGAACCACCATTAAATGAGCTGCTTAAGGGCACTTTTGACTGCCCCGTTTTAAGCAAAGATAAAGGGAAGAAAACATCAAGTATGAATGAAAGTTTTTTGAGTTCAGTTAGAAAGGCATGTTCTATCCTTCAGTTCCCAAAACCTATTCAGTCCCAAAATATGTCTGACATCAATTACTCGTCCAACATGAAAATGTCCACTTCCCAATTGACCTCAGTTTGTGCAGTTGAAAGTGTTGGTAATGGGGATAAAGAGCAGTCTTGCACAACAGACATGTTTTCCTATCAGAAGGTTAGTATCAAATGTTTCAAGTAGACATTCATTTTTTGACTTTAATAAAATAGTATTTGAATTTTAATGAATCGCTACATATATGCTACAAAATAGGCTGCATCATCATATTTGGCTTCTCCAGTCATGGAAACGTTTTGCCTTTGCTTGGTTATTTATGCCTATACTAATTTACTTCCATTAATAATTAAACTGTTTATAATGTTAATGGCACTTTGTACTTGTGCTTCATATCCAGGATCCTTGTAGTGAAACAGAAAGTACAACTAGTCCACTTGACTTCCCATTACGTCAACCTAAGGATGTTATGGAACAAATTGCACTCCATCCATTCCAGGATTTGGAGTCTTTGCTGCTTGATGTGTCCAAGCTTGCCATTACCACAAAAAATAGTAATGACCAACGATCAGGAAAGCAGGTATCTCGTCGACCAAGCCTGCCAGCCTTTCCATGGTCACATGCTTTTGGTGGTCATTCTAGAACTAATTCCGACACAGTTAAGTTATCAACAAGTAGAAGCATGTGCCAAGGTAAATGGACGAGGGTAGGTGTCATTGCTAGCTCTACAAATATTGATCGCAGTTTCTTCACAAACCTTGATTCGTTCAGTTATGATCAGAGCCTTGTTCCTTCATCTGGTAGTTCAGACAAAACAAATTTCCAATCTTTATTTGCTAACCTTCCTTTCCATCAGTTGGATTCTTCATCATCTGTATCATGTTCAGAAGATTCCAAGGTTAAAGCAGGTAAAAAAATTTCTTAGGCTCCCTGAATTTGTTATTGTTTATCCATACTTCCTTTTTTGTCTTCTCTTCTCCCCCTTCTCTCTCTCTCTCTCTCTTGCAGAATCATCTGACTGATCTCTTTCCTGAAAATACAGAATTTGGAGGCCAAGTTGATACTAAAGAAAATGGTATGTTGTCACTGAGAACAACACATTTTGCATGTGTACACTTGTTTGACTATTTTTTTGTACATCTGTAGTTTCTAGTAGAGTAAGACCTCCTGTTGTGACCAAAAAAAAGTTAAGACCTCTTGCTTAACAGTCTTGTTTGTGACAGATGAGCGTTGCCCAAGAATATTAACTGCTGCTCAAACACTCTGTGAAATTGCTACTCACTCACCGAGGCAGAGCTCAGATGGAATTTTAAGATGGCAAAGGAAAACTTCACACAAGGCCATGAAAGCTTGCCATTTTAAATCAAATGAGAAACTTGAAGAAATGTCTTCAAGATCAATTTCAGTGATCGGATCTGACATGGTGGCCAGAAGTGTGGAGCATATAATTCCCTCAAAGAGGCCAAGGCATTCCATAGTCGAGAATAAGAACAGTGGTCACTCCAATAATGTTAAGAAAGGACACATTGTATGGCCTATTTCAAAATCAAGTAGGTCATTACCTAGTAAACAAGTTAGGGACTCGTTTGTGGAAAACAAACGTACAAATGCCAGCATCTTGAAGCAACATTGTATGATGCCCCCGCCTGCAAGGGATTTGGATAAGGCTTATGATGGTCAGCATCAGGTTGGAAAATTAGTAGTGATGGATTGGAAAAGAGGACGAGACAACACAGATTGATCAAACAATTAGATTGTAGACACATCAGCAGCTGGCAGCTGTTGTGTGATTAGCATGTGTTAGGTTAGTAAAAAGCTGCTTTGTACATATTGTTATGTTGTGGCTGCAAGCCTACGATGAATTTATTGCTAGCGTTCTGTTCAGGGCCAAACATGATTCAAATGTTGTAACATTAAAACAGGTGTATAAAACAGCAGAATTCTTTGCTTACCGCAGAGTACGAAGCAATAGTGAGATTAAGTCCTGTCGTATCTTTTATGAACTGCATGCAACTATCATTCTATAATATGCTTCTTATACTTTTTTTTTACCCTGCTGTAATTGCTAAATTCATTAATGCTAGGTTCGCGGCTATGTGCAGGTGTAACTTTCAGCAGTGCCCACCAACATTTGCATATAACCTTGTTTTAGAAATATGGTAAAATGATAGAATTCCTTCCTCATGCATTATGTGCTGCTGGGCAAGGCTTGTATTATTTATTCGTTATGTATTGAATTGAAAAGGTTTTCGTTCTTTTTACATTTATAGCGAGGATGCAGTCTGATGATTTGAACTGTTTGCAAAGTCAGCCTCTTGAAGCATAGGTAGGAAATGAATTCATCCTAACATTAGTAACATATGCTTTGACAGATTAACCACATGTTTGGTTCCACGAAGTGAATGTATGTGACATTACTACAGCAGCTTTTCCACATAAAAATGAAAAAAAAATGTGGAAGCTACTGTCTGTCTCTGTAGCTTCTTGCTTGACACGCGTTTAGTGTTGGATGATGTAAAACTAAACATAGTATTTCAATGCTTTTTCTCTTTTTATATATCTCTCGTGTGCTGATTTACAGTGCCGTTCGAGGAAAATGGTATACTGATACAGAGACTAGAAATGTGTTACTCTATGAAGAGTATTATGAAAACATTTGATCCAGTAGTAAAACGAGTGCCATGGCAAAGGTAGGATCAAAGCCAGGGTGAACAACTAACTGAAAAATCTCTATCCCGAAAGAGACGTCTTTGGTATTGGCCTCCTTTCTCTTGATTTCAGCTACGGCCCTCTTGTACTTATCCAACACTTTACACGTCCTATGTGCATAGGAACCTTCAACCGTTAACGCCGCTTGTCGTTTATCTGAATCCGAGGCTACGCGGTACACGTAGGCCTGAACCTTGGGTTTTCCGTCTAAAATATTCACACGCTTCTTCACACAACAAACTGGACTCTCTCTTGACTTACTCCTGCCCTGCTTCCCCTTTTCTCCTTCATACACAAACCAGCTATCTACTAATCCTAGCTTCTGCAATCAAATCAAACCAACATGTTATCAACAATACCATTTTATATATAACAGTCAAAATATCATTCACAAGTTTTAGTTAGTGCAATGCAATAATGGTTGTTCCCTATGTCTTTATTGTGATTTTGCAATGATAAATTTTGCCATTTTATTTTCATGTCTTAATTAGCTATGGGCATAAAAGTGTGCCGGAAAGATCTTACTTAAATTTTGTTTGGACTTATCTTGTGAGAGAGATTTTATGAAAATAATTTATATATCCAATTTGTTTTCCACGTGCACCTCAACAGCCTAACTTGTCAAAACAACTCAACCATATTTTTTTTTTCTTTTAATTATAAAAACAACTTACAAATTCATAACACTTCCAGAGTTACACGATAAATAGTTGGCGCTTAATCAAGTTATGCATAAATGCATAGGAAGAAGAAAGATGAAGATAGATACCCTGGAGCGGCGCATGGTGAGGAGAGAGTTTCCTGAAGCGTTCATAAGAATGAGTTCGTTGGGGTGCACGATGTAATTATCAACCCGATACGCCAGATTTCCATATGAATCGATGACAGTGAATCCTTTACAACTAATCACAAGGGATTTTCTCCAAACTGTTAGTGTGAGGGACGTGCACAAACTTGCTTCTGTTAAAGGGTACTTGTTTCTTTCCCCATCATGCTCACTTTCTAGTTCTTCATGCACTGCTCTTGATAGAAATTTGAACCCAGGAAACATCTCTCTGCTCTAACTCTTTCTATTCACTATTCACTTCGGCCTCTTATCTAGTTGGCGTTCGGTGCAATATTTCTAAGGGGTTTTTTTATGTTATATTTATAGGAACAAGTAACATGGTCTACGTGTTTACGGCACTTGCCATGGACACGTTTCCGATGAATAAAAAGTGTGCTCTACAATACGGGTCTATTAGCAGTTGCGCACATTGCAACTTTTGGAGGCTAGTGTGCGACGAGAACGCTTATGTGTCTTTATGAAAAGTTCCACGGTTTAGGACCAGATGCATTGTTTTCTTCACTTTTACTTTTGTAATTTTCTTTTTCTTTAAAAAAACTACTATTAGGTAGAATTTGAAATATGACCACTACATCTAAATGACTACTTGGTAAACATCACTTGCATTCACATTTGTTCACACCTTTACTTTAATTAAGAGCATCTTGCTGCAACTATAGTTGAGTTGCTTCACTACTTTTTATTGCGACTTATGATGTCAAATGAGATTTAAGAACTCCCAACAAGTTTTCACTCAAGCAGTACAACTCTTAAAAATTTAAATGGATCTTACAATTGTTTCATAATTATTTAGAATTATAAGAATATTTGTTTATATAAGTAACTTCTCGTAAGTAGGCATGGTAACAGGGCGGGGTGGAGACGAGTTTTATGTTCCACGCCTCTGCCCCTGCTCCCATACCCGTTAAGAGTAAAATTTGAGTATCAATCTCCGTCCTTGATGAGTTTCGGGTTTCTCTGCCCCGTCCTCGCTTCTGAATCATTTTTTTTTCTTTTATTTCTAATAAATATGAAAAGATTTTAAAAATAAATAAATAAATAAGATAATACAAATTTTTTTACATATAAAAGTTTCTAATTTTAGTTTTTATATATATAAGAATAATTTTTTAATTATATTATTAACTGGGGCGGGGCGAGTATGGGGGCGAGTACGGAGGCGGAGATGAGTAGGGGTATTAATATCCTTGTCCCTGCCCTTGTCTCCAATTTTATCAATTGAAAAAAATCCAAACCTGAACTCAAACCGATCAACACGGGCTTTCCTCGTCCAAATTGAGACAAGTTTGGACGAGTATTCACATGATCGAGTTAGATTACCATGCCTACTCGTAAGTTATGAAGTATAAACACTTTTCTTGTTCCAAATATCAAACATATTTTCAATATTGTCATTGTATGACATTTGTTTAACACATGTCACATATTTCTAATTAGGTGTTTAATTAAAAAAAATCATTTTTGTTGATTTGGATACTTTAAGTAACAACTTTACACAACTTAGATACTTGAGTTGTCTTCTTATGGATAGACACATTAATATTATTAGAGAAAAATCATTTTTTTTTAACTTTTAGATAAGTTTTACTTAAAATATAATAGAAAATTTTATGTTCTCACTTTTTATTAGTTTTATTATCATTGAAAAATATGAAAAACTTGTTTAAAAAAGTGAATATACCAATTTAGATACTTTATTGCGTTACTCATATTTTATTTTGTTGGAATTCTTTTTTATGTGTATGTAGTTCTAATGTTATATAAATTAGACATTAGTCGTATTGTATTAAATGTTTATGTCATAATTTATATTTGTGACGAGATTCGTGTGTTTATTTGTTTTTGATAACAAACATGTAAATACTATTAAGTTAATTGATCTGATAACAAATATACACATTTAAGAACCTTCTAATTTTTTTTTTGTCAAATATGCCGTAAATATATTGCTTTTAATCTTATTGGTAATTCACTTTTAGACTCTAAGTCAATGAAGAGTGAAATTTACTTATAAATATATTTTAATGTTTAAATGATGAAGAAAAATAGTAATTGTAAGAGAATTTGATTGATGCATGAGATTCAATAATCATATTTGAAGAAGCATTCTTTACACAGATTTGTATGGTGATAAAATATGAAAAGTAGTATCTAAATTCTCAAGTGAATAGGGAAAATGAAAAAAAGAATCCTTTAAGAGATAAAATCTAAATTTGATCTAAAAATTTACCGGAAAATAAAGGTAGGTCAGTTAGACTGAGATCTTCGCATATATTCAGGATCCGGGATAAATGTACAAAATAAATTTCATCTTATCATTCATGTAGAAGGGTTTGTAACAAATTCATTAATTCAGTCATGGGGATCAATTATAGAAGTTATAGTTCACTAAAATAATACACGCGATATTATATGATGCTGACTCAAGAATTAATGTTATATGTAATAGAAACGAATTTAAGTAGGTTTTTTTTTTTGCACTTTAGATGAATGACTTTAGTTATCCATTGTTTTTACCTATTGTTAAAATTATGTACACACACGTGTGAAAAGAGATTTTGAGAAAAAAACAGTGGATGTGGAAATCCTTAGTAAGTAACGAGTGTTGGAGAATGGTGACGCGTGGGGCGACAAGGGTTTGAAATTGGAATGCGAAAGAGACGGAAAAGGGAACATATTGAAATTATAGGACTCATCGTCACCACTGAGCTATAGAGTGATCAAACTAAATTTGTAATTTTCCAAACTAAACTTTTTGACTAAATTCTCTTTTGATTATTTCGTAAGTAAACATAGCAAAGGACGGTAATGGGCCCGTTTTGCAAATTGCACGTAATATATATTCTACAAATTATTACGGCAAAGGAGAGGGGGCATTGTTGCTGTTAATTATTAAAGACATCGCAATCACGATTAAATAAAATTACAGTTCAGACTGCAAAGTAAGAAGTGCTGTGTTAAAAATACAGAGGCTGAAATATTAATTTAAAGTTGAGAAACCATAATTCTGATAAATTAATTTTGAATTATTCAACACTACTATTTTAACTATGTGCATTTCACAATTTAAATATTTATTATATGTAAAAAGTTAATAATAAATTATAGATGAATAAATATTATATTTAAGTATATAAATTATATTTAAGTTTTGTATGAATAGGTATTTTAAAACATATAAATTGTATTTTAGATTTATGATAAATAATTTAAACTATAATACAATATTATTTTTAATTATTAATTTTTTATTATAAAATATTAAAATTTATTTCATAAACAAAAATTTTAAATAAAAAAATTAAATTATACAAGAAGTCAAAGTGATCTCTAATAATAAAAAACTGACTCAAAATGTTTTCGAGCAATATAATTTCTATGTTAAAAGAGTTGAATAAATAAAAAAATTAGATTAAATAAAAAGTTTTAAAAAAATCATATAAACACTTTAACTAAAAATTTCCAAAAAGAAATATTATTTTAAGTAATGGTTCGTATTTAATAAATAATATTGATAATTGAAATATAAATATAAACTAGTCTTAATTACAAATAATAATAATTATTAAAGATATAAATACAAAACGTAAAATCAATTAATGTTTTTATTCAAAATATTTTAATAATTTAAAGTATTTAATAAGTATAATTAAATAACTAGTGTATTTGCAACAATTGAAATCATTAGATTTCAAATGTTTTTTAAAATTATTTAAAAAATAATCAATGTGTTGGCGACATCAGCTATTTCTTTTTTCAAATAAATCATTTTCATACGTCTAAAAAATTGAAATTTATGATTATTTTTCTATCATTTTGCCCTCCCCGAAAAAAATGTTATTCTCAAATTATCCTTCGATGTCTAAACAACTTTTTCACTATCGGCTATTTCCGTAATAATTTTATACTCTTGTTCATGGATTTACTACGTAAACATTGATTTTGATCGCATTTACTTTTCAACACACTCATTTAAATAAAAATAATGATTACAAATGTAATTAATTATAACAATAACTGATTGTATAATGGATTATTAAAATAATTTAAAATTTGAAATATGTTCAAACACTTCTGTAGCAACTTGTTTTTTTGCACTCCAAATAAAAGAAAGTATAAACTCGTTGAATTCAATAAAATGGATTTTTGAAGTGTGAGTGGTGTAACTATTCTACGCCATAGGCATAATCCATATAAACAATAATGTAACATCATTTCACAAAAGAAAAAAAGAAAAGAAAAAGAAAAGAAAAGATTAATCTTATCATGTATTGTTCACTAACGAAGCCATCTCCGTTCTCATCGACATCGCTTAAAATAGTAGGCAGCTGTGTCACTAAAATTAACATATATTCCTATCATTATCATTACCATGCATGAACATCTCATGCCATTCTTTTTTATCTGAATGAATATCAAACAAGACTTATATTATAATCAAGGTAGATAAATATTATTCTTATTTTAATTCAATTATTAATATATTTTTTAAAATATTATATCTTACACTTCTTAATTTAATATGTGATATTTATATTTTATTTTTGTATATAATGATAATGATTAGAGAAAATTATTTTTAAAATAACTACCTTCACTAACTTAAGATTTTGAGATTTTGGATTCATCACCGTAATCATTAATATAAAATATTAATAAAAAAATAAAATAAAGTAATTATGTATGATGTAAGATTGAATTTAAAAAGAAAACGAGAACATAGTACATCGTACTTTTGAATTTGCACAGTACATCGTAGCTTTCTTTTGTTAATATAAAGTTTTTCTTTGGTTTAAAAAAAAAAAAGAGTTAAGACTTAAAATATGTTTTTAGTGATTATAGCTGAATTTGTTTTACTTTTTAATCTACATAATTTAAAATAGATTTTTTTTAATTTATATACTTATTTTTTTTAATCTTTTTTAGTTCTTATAATTTAAATAATTTTTTCACTTTTATATTTACAATTTTATATTTTTTTAAATTTCCATAATTATTTTTTAACATTTTCTGTTTTATTTTGACATAATAGAGGTCTTTAATTTTTTGAAGATAAAAAATTAATATCTCAATAATGAATGTCAAAGAGTAGAAAAGAGATATGAAACTTCTAGAGACTTAATTTAAAGTGATTCCAACAAAATAAATTTGACAGCAGATACATAAAATTGAATTAATATATTTATCATACCAACATGAAAGAGACAAAGTTAAAAAAAATTAACAATAAAAACTAATAAAATTAAAAAACTTAAGATATATGAACTAAAAAAACCTATCTTAAATTATATGG